TTGGTTAGTTGGAGGCATGGGAGGGAGGCAGAGAGGAGAGGGTGGGAGGGACAGAGAGAGGAAAGGAGAGGGAACTGTGGTAGATATGTAAAATAAGAAAAACACAATAAATACATAAATAAATAAATAAATAAATAAATAGCATAATACCATGTATTATTTAAGAAACACCATACCTGCTTTAGTTTCTCTTTAATACAGTAACAAAGATTACATGGACAATCATGTCATTCTAGTGTCTGGTGGCTGCTGAGTAATTTAATATTATTTACTATTTAATTTAATATTTATTTAATTTAATATTATTCTACTCTATTCTTAGTTATTTAATTTTTTTCCTTTTTGCACAAAAAGCATATAAGTAAATTTATGTAAATATTAAACATACTTTCAACTAAAATGTGACTCAAACAAGTACATGTAAAAGCAGCACACCACTGTAAGACTTAACCAGAATGAGGATGCAAGAATAATCATAAAAAGAATAAAACCATAAGACCTGGAGAATTTAATCTATGTCTATAAAGTGTACATTTAATATCCATGTATAAAACAGGGAGAGAAATAGAACATTATTACATTTAGCACCCGGAATTTCCACTAATTATTGTTAACTGTTAGTGAAAATAGAAGGTTTTTTTAAATCAGTGGCAAAATGTCTCAAGGTCATTCCAGATGAATCATTCATTTATCCTAATAAGCTAATATCTCAATTAATAAATGTATATGAGGTCATGCTAAAACACTGGGGATAACATGATATTCTATTCTAAGATGTTTTCAAATTGTGTTTCACCTTTTTGCTCCCTTTTAAATAATACATTCAAGAAGTATTTTTTTTCATAAATGTTTTATAATTGTGATTGTTATTCCTGGTATACCTGAGGGGCTAACTTAGGGTGTGTTATATACAAAATCAATATAACTTGAGGAGAACTTTTTTTCACCATTAAAATTTCCTCCAAACAAAGCATTTTCATCACAGAACATAATTTGGAATCTTATCTTCTTAAATATTCTACAATTTCTTTTAAAACAAATACAACAATAACCCTTATTTATATTTGACTATTTGCCCCTGTTCTATCCACCCTCCTCCCACCAAAATGCTTCGTGTCAAATATCCTTCCCTTATTTTATGTCACTTTGCTTAATTTTGCTGTGGCTTGGATTTTGTTGGTTGGTTTGTTTTTGTTTGGATTTCTGGTTTGAAAAGTTAATTCCAAAATCAAGCTGCGATCAAGTGAAAACAGTTCAAAGACAAACAGCACATATGCCTTTCTGACTTTTGTTAGCAATGTAAAATAGTTTCTGCTAAAACAAAAAATATTGGTGAAGATAAAATTAAATACCAACACATTGCTTAAAACTAATAATTGTTAGGTATCAAAAATTTTGTCTGTTTCAGAATAAATATACAGTATAAATGATAACTGCTTAAAGGAGTAACATATCTCAGTTAAGGAAAAAGAAATGAAAGAATAAGTTGCTTAATTTTAATAGTGACATTTATAGTTGAAAGTTGTCACATGGCAACATATAAGTAATGCCTTTTAATGTTAATCCTATCGCATATATGTTCATACACATAACTTTAATAATCCAAATATATTACATGAAGAAATTTAATCATGTTCTCAACTACATTTATATATGAAATGCACTTGGTGAGTCCAAAATTTTTATTTACGGGTCTTATCCCCACCAACTTCAGCAATATCTGCAGCAGAAGTTGGGAGTTGCAGAATGAAATAGATAAGTTTTCTAGTTTCTTTCTCTTTACACACACACACACACACACACACACACTTTTTTTTTTAAGAAATCTCTATTCCTAGGGAATTTACCATTGTTTAATGTAACTGTCAAGAGTTATATTGCTAAACATGATGGAACAAGCTTAAACACTGATACAATGTTATCCTCACAGGCTTTGTTTTCTTGATGTGATGCTCAATTCTAAATCATCAGTATTGTTTATTGATTTATTCTCAGAGCAAATGTAACACACAGTTTATATAAACTGATAGATTTACCATTCATTGTCTAAGAAAGATGTTGTATTGGAGAATAATTCCTAGTTTACACTGAAGATTGAGAATAAAAACCACATCAGGCTATCTGGCTTTGCCTGAAGCACACAAGCAGACACTTTTTTTTGCTAATTTCAAGAATTATTGACTCTTGGTCTAATTTGAATGGAGTCATATTTTCATTTTTTTTTGGCATTGTTAGATTTGAAAGAATTCTGAAATCAGTAGCTTTTTTATTAGGAAAGGAAAGATTAATTATGCTTCCACAAAGGTCAATTACTTCTCTTAATAACAAAAAGGAGGCTGTGTAATGAGGATATATTTTATGAAAATCACATATGCTCCAAACATTTTTCAATAAAACTACATTTGAATTGTTGTAATCTGTCCATTCAGGTTTTAGTTTTGCACTGCAATATCAATGTGCTGTTAATGACTTTGCTAAAGCTCCAACCTTATAATTAATCAATATGGTCACTTTTATCAAACATTATGTATTTTAAACTTTTTAACTTATTTTATGTGTATGGTGTCTTGTCTGAATTCATGTCTATTGACAACTGACAATTCAAGGAGCTGTGAAGATTAGACAAGTGGATCAGATACCCTGCATTGGATTTAGGGGAGTTACAAATGGTTGTAGCCTGCCATGTAGAGGGAAGAATTTTAAACTTGGTCCACTAGAAGTGTAAGTGCTCTTCACCACAAAGATATCTTTCCAGTCCAACCAAGTTATACATTCTTAAAGTATAGCCTAATTGTACAGTTCACCTGAAGTTTTTTATTGGATACCATGTGAAACTATCTCTCTTATCTTGTTCAGGTGCCAGCTTCTGCCCGTAAGGGACATACACAAAATACATTCCATGAAAAAAAAATCTAATGAAAAAAACCAGGATTGTTTTGAGTTTAATTATATTGACACTATTATCAACCAAAATACTGGTATTTGTAAATCAATGTTTCATAACATGTTCTGTTCTATAAATTATATTTGCCATCAAATATAATTTAAAGAGTGTTTTTTTTTTATTTTTCTTATTTAATCCATGGCCTAATACATAATACTAAAGCTTAGTACATTAATAAATTCAGTGAGACCAAAGTAATGTTGAGAGGACCCTAGATACATGGAACCTATAATGAAGTTTATGTCTTTTACTTTTAAAACTTCAGCAGAGAAATACATGGCAGCTTCTCCACCAGACTAATTAATAACTTCATTGCTTAAATCAGTTTATTTTTCTTATTCTAATATTCTTAATAAGATTTATAATTATGAAATGCAAGTGGATTCTTCAGTGGAATATTGCTCAGACAGATATGTTCTGCAAGTAAAGAATTAAAGATTTAACTTCACAGTGATTACAAAAACTGGTATATACATTTTAATACATATATACATTTTAATAAAAGTATACAATTAATTCTTCAACGGTATGTTACTAGACGCATGCATAATATAGACACTCTGTGATGTGCTGGCTACTTTATTGAGTACTTTGTTTTAAAACAATAAATTCATGAATGATCTATGAGGAATTAATGTTGAGGTTGTAGAGTTTTACTCCATAATCTAATAACACACATCAATTTCTCACTTAAGCTAAGTTCTTAAACACCACTGAATCTTATAATCTTATGATATAATGACTAGGGAGTCTGAATAATGTAGCAGAAAAACCTGAGCAGAAATGCAATCAATTCTGGCTGTAATAATAATCAGTTGTGTAAAATTGGTCACATTGCTGTTATTTCCTTAACTTCAGTGCTTGCAAGGGGTTCTGGGAAGCTTAAATGAGATGATGTAGGAGATAAAGTTTAAGACATTTTATATAAGTAATTGCAGTGACAAACTAGACAAACTGTCTTTACTGTTACAACACTAATTACTTTTAATGCCCCCCCCCCCATTTTGGGATTTTAGCCACAGAAGGGAATGAAGGAAACATTGTTTTTCAGATTTAAAGGCTGAAACTAAGACATTTATATTTCATGGTTGAAACATTCTGACATGGAAGAACTAAATGCACTTCAAAGTATATTTCTAACTAATTAGATCATAATTATTTTATTAAAGCAAATAAAGAAATTTCAAAAAGAACCACATGAACAGAGAGTTGATTAGTTTCAATTACTTATTGTATTTGTTACTTTTGTGTAAGGTGGGTTGGCTCTAGCAGAACGTTATAAAGGGATACAGTCCATAGGGGCATGGGGTATGTTCATTATCACAACTGAAGCAGTAGGTTACCTCATTGACTGCTCTCAGGAAGGGCAGATAGGAAGAGGGGTCAGTTACAAAATCTCTAATGGCATGCTGAGTGGCTTATTCCTTCTAGGTGGCTCTACCTCCTAAAGATTCCAGAAACTTCCTGAGCAATACCAAGGAGAGGGACAATAACACAGCTAAGCACTGGGCCAAACTCCTGAATCCAGTTGTAGAGATGAGGAGTGATGAGCAAAGGGGTCAAGACGGTGCCTGGGAAACTCACAGAAAAAGCTGACCTTAGCAAGTGAGAGCTTATCGTCTTCCAGACTGATAGCTGAGGAACCTGTATGAGACCAAACAGTTTGGGACCCTCGGCAGAGGAACTAGTGTTTATTCCTACTGCACAAATGGGCTTTCGGAGCCCATTCCCTATGGAAGGATACTCTCCATGCCTAGATACATGGGGGAGGGCCTAGGCTCTGCCCCATATGATGTGACAGAATTTGATGATCCCCTATGTGAGGCCTCATCTTCCCTGAGGAGAGGATGGGAGGTGGAATGGGGGAGATCCTGAGGGCAATGGGAGGACAGGAGGGAGAGCAAACTGGGATTGCTATGTAAAATAAGATTTTTTAATTTAAATAAAAATAAATATTGAAAAAGTACATGAGCTTTCAGAGTTATGTCACATTCAAACCACACACGGATCAACAGGCATTGTTAATTTCGTAGTGAATAAGTAGAGCTGCCCTCACCTGCGTAGAGTAGGAATGCCCGTCGGAACCACAAACAGGGCTGGCATAGGCCACAGGGCATGGCTTACAGGTGGATGACAGGAGACCTCTCCATTGCTTATGGCTTCCTCCTACTTCTTTCATACTGTCAGCAAAAAAGACATGAAATAAAAAAGGAAACAGTCACACTTACTGTATTTGATTTTCAGAATTATGTTTATATGAACTGCCTTTTCAGACCTGTCATGATGATGCTTGATATTGAGTTACAGTCTCTTTCACCCCTTGTTTATCTCTGCAATCCTCTCTGAATGATCTATTGTCTTTTCCAGACTCTGAAGTTCTTCCAATGAAGCAAAGTTGTACTTCTTAAAAGTGTTGTGTTAGTCACAGAGTGTGGTCAGATTTTTATGCACATTCTTTAATTTATAGACATGAAATAGGTTCTTGCTATCCCAGGAGCAACACTTGTTAAAACTACAGAACTCAGAACTTTCTATAAGCTTGTCCTTTTATTCTCTTAGGTATGAAGAAAAGAGACACCCGATTTAATGACTGCATGAAAGGGAGAGAGCTTACTTTTATACCAGGAATATATAGCATCTAGCAGTGTTTAAGAAGCCAAATTACTAGGTTTATTGATACCAATGCCCTTGATTGCTGCAAAGTGTTTCAAAATGGACCCCTTAGACTTTGATTTAAAGTAACTCTAAAAAATCTATTCTCTTTTTGTTAAGCATCACTCAGAATCTTTCCTCTTCTTGACACTACTCAATTCATTGCCTATTTGTTTGCACAGTTTACACAGAAGCAGAGGACTAAGAAATGAAAGAGTGGAAATATATACAAAGACACTTAGTATTTGAAGTCAATATGTATTCATTGTAATTTTCTCTGCAGAGAATAATAATCTGATATCAGAGCAAAAACAAAAAAAAAAAAAATGCTGAGACGCACTATACATTCCTTTTCATGACTTTATATATTTTTTAGTAATTTTTATACTGGGAAACAAGTTTACAAAGTGTGGTACCTAGACAATACTTAAAACTACACCCAAAAGAATTTTCTCATAGCAGGAAAATTGTGTTGGATATGGAATTTAGACATTAAAATCTCATATTTATCTCATATCAGTCTATCTATCTATCATCTATCTTCATCATCCACCTATCTTTTACCTCTTTATGCCCTTGTCTTTTTCTCTCCCTTCTTCCTTACCCTATCATTTTACCCATATCCCACATTCTTCTCATTTCTTCTTCCTTAGATCTTTCCCAAACAGAATATCTAATGCCTACAAGAATTTCGAATATGTTATTTTCATTTATCATACATAAATTACACTTAATGACCACAGTAAAACCTTACTTGGCTGCAGAATTCACCAGAAGATACAGTGGAGAAAAGTATTAATATTGGATAAATATTATAATAGGAATTAAAATAATGTCAGGAAATCCTAGCATGCTGTTCTAGACCTCATCAATGTCAAAAGTTGAATAAAGCTTCCATATCAGGGTACCAAATGCAGTTGTATAGATTACAGACTCTGTATAATGAAGTGCTTATTTTTTTTAATTCTATTTAATAGCTATGTAAATCATGGAATATCACTTTGACTTCTTTGAGTGTGTGTGTGTGTGTGCATTGTGTTAGTGTGCATTGGGTTAGTATGTGTACATGTGTATTCTTTTGTGAAGGTGTGTCTCTGTGTGCATATTCAACTTTGTAGGTTCATGTGTGTGTGTGCAATTGTATTGATGTGTTGTGTATGTTTACCTGTGAAGGTGTGTATATGCATGTGTGTGTGTGTGTGTGTGTGTGTGTGTGTGCATCTGTTCACCAGTAAAGGTGCATCTGGAGTTCATAGGTTGGCATTAAGATGGTTTCCTCAAATACTTCTTCTTACAGTTATTTAGGACAGAATTTCTCCCTTAATATTAATCTTAGCATTCTAACTACAGTACATTGAAATGAAGGTCCCGGATTCCACCTCTTTACAGCATCAGATGCTGAGGCCACAGTTGCATGAAAACAAATCTGGAATTTATATAAGTTCTTGTATTCCAAAATCAGGTTTTAATGTTTGTATAGCAGTTACCTCACTGCATCATTCTCTGAGTACTCTCAGAAATCTTCACTAAAGTTGTGAAACTTGTGTTTGTTCAGCATCAGAGATACTATTTACAGTGTTTCCAATGGATAAATTCAGTTCAAAGGAGAATGAGTTGAACAGAAGCAACAATAACTGGAAATTTATAGGTCTTAATATCAGTATTTTATGTAGTGCACACATATGTGTGTGCATGAACACACACACACACACACACACACACACACACACACACACGAGTGTAGCTTGTTGGTGTTTGATTTTTAATCATACCTAAAGGCCCTGGTTTAGGAAGAATGTTGTTTCTGAGAGAAGTGAGGTCATAGTACTAAGTGGACAGGCCAACAGGGAAAAATTGACTTTATTGAGAAATGGCAAGCCAGTTGCTGCTGTCAGGATGGTTTCCTGGCAACAATATCTCTAGCAATGACAAGTGAAGCACTCAGTCTGGACAAAGCATTAGGAGCCAAATAAACCTGAATACTCATGTTAGGAAGGACCTTCAATATCAGAAGATAAATATAAATTTGATATCATTTATCTCTCTCTTCCTTTCTCTCTCCCTCTGTCTCTCTCTCTCTCTGTCTGTCTGTCTCTCATGTATGTGTGTTTGTCTGTGTGTTTTGTCTGTGTGTGCTCATTTTTGCAATACCATGCCCCATGCCCTACACGTATTTATACTTATATCTAGGTTTGTGTCAAGTTGCCAATACTATGATAATGCATTTGTGATCTGAGAATGAGCAAATACACTTCCAGAAGATTGTGTGGAGAGATATTAGAAAAACATGATTCTATGTATGATAAAACATCCAACTGATGAATCACCACATGGAGCTCTACTATTCTGAAAACTTAAAAGAATGGTATTCTGTTTTAATGAAAATAATAATTATTACACTATAAATATTGTATTAAGAAACCAAGTATGAGAAGTAAACGGGAGAGATGGGTATGACAAAGCAGGAAGACTGAGTCAGGGAAAGAATAGATGACAGCAAGAAAAGAGATACCATAATAGAGGGAGCCATTATAGGTTTTAAGAGAAATCACTAGGAAAATGTCCAGAAATCTACAAGAATGACTCCAAATAACAATCTAAGTAATAGAAGAGAGGATACCTTAAAGTCCTTCCCGAATAATGAGATCGATGACTAACTTATCCACCATCATGGAGCCCTAATCTAGTAGCTGATGGAAACAGAAGCAAACACCCACAACTAAACACTGAGCAGAACTGGAATTCAGATGCAGAGAGGGAGGACAAGACCAGGCTACAAAAACACATAGAGACAGCTGACCTGAACAAGGAGGAGCTAATGGGTCCCAGACTGATAACTGGGAATCCAGCATGGGACTGACTCAGACCCCCTGAACATGATCTCAGTTAGAAGGCCTGGGCTGTCTAAGGGACCTCGGGCAGTGGAAACAGGTTGTATCCCTGGTGCACAAAACGACTTTGGGAACACATCCCCCATAGAGAATTCCTATTCCCTACTCCAAATGACTTGACAGATTTTCTTGACTCCTTCTGGAAGGCATCCTCCCTGAGGAGTGGGGAGGGATGGGTTGGGAGAGTGGTTGGGGGCCTGAGAGGGTGGGAGAGAGGGAAAAAAAGGAGGGAGGGAGAGGGAAGTGGGATAAATATGTAAAATTAAAAAAATTATTATGATATCGGTATGTATTTAGAAAACATAAATTCTACTTTAGGAAAAATGAAGACCAGTTTTAAGGTATGTCCCATATTTTACTTAAAAATACCCACCACTGGTGCTGGTGACACATCAGTGATTAAGGGCACATATTGCTCACATAGCATTCAGTGTTTGATTCCTACCATCCCTATGGGTGGGGGTGGTTCACAAGTTCTGAGTCATACTTTATGGGGTTTGATTCCTTCTTCTGACTTTCTTGGACCTTTTACTCATTGTATACACACACACACTCTTACACACACACACACACACACACACAAAGAACTAAATATTTTCTAAAAATCTATAACCTGCATTTATTGATTTATTGTGTCGAGAATATTCATTAGCAATTGAATTTAAAATTTATAATTAAGTAGATTAAATAATAGATTTTATTTGATTCACACTAGGGAATATGTACAAGATTGATTAAGACGATTATGTCATTTTCATTTTGATTTATGTATACATTTGCACCAGATCTCAGCCTATAATGATAGCTACTAAGTCTGTATTTCTGTTTTGCAAATAAGCATGATGAACACCTCAGCATTTTTGCAAAAGTGAATGTTCCCAAGCAAAATGATTCTTCAAATTTTCACTACATACTAGAGTAATCCTTTACTGCCACTGGTGAGCAAAGTATCAATTAAGATCTGCTAATAACCTATAGTTCTTAACAACAAAGGAAAGTCTACATGTAGATGAATATATCTGCATTTGAAAACAGCAATGGCAGATTTAAGGGAAAAAAAAAACTACTACTAAGGAAATGGTTAACAGTACTATATTTCCAAAAGACATGAGGAAACATTGCATTTGAACATTTGAAACATATTTTACACTTCACACAGTGCCTTGATTATGAAAAATCCTTTTGATTTTTTTCATTTAAACAGAGAAGGAAACATTTTACCTGCTTTTAAAGAAACTGACTTGACAGTTTTGGCAGAAGCAGACCATAAATAATTGCTGCTTGTTATTTAAGAAAACAGCCATTAATGGCAAGACAAAGTTCAGAGAAGAAAAACATAGCTTCACTTTCATAGAGTATCTTTAAAGAAGTCACAATTATCCTTCCTTTCTTCCTGCTTTATTATAAATGGAAGGTTCAACAAATACAAATAAGAGAAGCTGCTACATTCTGACTTTGTTTGATGTATACCTTGATACAAAGTATTAAGAACATTAAACCTTCACTATATATTATTTCTGACAGTACATTGCATGCTTGGAAATAATTAATATAATTAAACAAAGAACTTCAACTTTCCCCCACAATACTTTTATTTCCTCTAGATGCTATTTATCAGATAGCCCAAAAGAGCAGAT